ACCTTATTCTCTCTCAAGTACTTAAGTTCAATAAAATAAAGAAGTTTATGTGAATCCATTTAAAGCTACCTTCGCATAGCGTAGAAAAAGTATTTGGCACAAAGAACTGTCGTTTGTGGTTGTGCTTGCAAGGTGAGTAGGAAATAATCAAATAACCAAATGCTTAAGTTCAAAACCTTTTGATAAATTTTCCCTACTAGGTTTCTAAACGTTCTGGAAATATTTCCTTCTCAATGTTTATTGCAGGGAATTGTCCCATAAACCGATCAATTCAATCAAAGAAGTGACGGTCCATTCATGTATTCTCAAAATACTTATTGATACTTCTTTGATATACCAACCCTCTCGTCCGATGTCCATAACTGAGTGAAACAAACATCCAATGGGACATTTAGGAATTCCACTCATGCGGTTGCCTGTCTGATATTTTCCATTTTAGCCAATATTTGTACAATCGGCGATTTGAGCAAAAGCGAATCGCACAGTTCAGGTATTTGTGATTCAGATGCCACCTGAACTTCTATGGTCAGATGTATTCATAATAATGGACTACTTCCAAACGAAAATGGATTCTTAATATTGTATCTTAACAACTGACCAAGGAAGATCAAAACAAGCATTATGAAAACAAAGATGTAATCCACTAGCTTTTATTTACCAGCCCAGTTTATGCCTGGTTCTCAGATTACACAAAATCGCGCGCTTTTCACCAAGACGGTAGAAAAATAGATCATTTGAAACTATCACCTTTAGTTCATGGATAAGTTGCATGCGACTTAATGATGATGTAGACTTTTTCTGTCTAAGTGCCGATTCGTTTGCGAAGTGCGCAAGTGCGCCCAAATTAAACAACAATAGAATCAATCGGCCGACTGTGAAGTAGTAAAGTAGTGAAGTGGGTGAAATCTGTAGCAAGGTGGTGTAATATTAAGACGCATGAAAGATTGGTGCAGAAAACGTTGGCTGGACAAAATTAACTGAATCGATGAGCAAAGAAGATGGAATAAACCAACTGCGACCCCAGACGAAGTTGAAACTGGTAATGCGTATATCAGTCCACATAAATCCGCCTATATGGATATAACTGTGGCTCTGCATCAAGCGTTATGCGAAATTATCTCCCAAACAAGGAAAGTATGGTATGTCACATGTCACAGGTTTTTCAGCTTGTTGTTAAGAAGGTGGGGGTCCGTTCGGCCAGGAAAGTCGGAAGTGCCAGCCTGATGCAGCCAAATTAGCGCCTGATTCCTCGTTCCAAGCGTTGCTGCCTTGTGCCCACACAAGCCAGGACAGGAATGAGCAGGGTTCCAGGAGGTTAACAATATCTTGATGAAAATGAAACATTGCAAGTGAGAAGAAAAAGCAGACACCGATGAGTATATCAAACAGCCAGGCCCTACGGAAAGCACCCTCTAGCCAGACTTCTGACGGCCCTAAATACCGAGGTACGAGGGGCTCGTCGGCGGCCCTAAGTTGTTGGGTGATGCTAAAAGTCTCGGCTAGTGAGGAGCCAGTAGAGACGACGGAAGCAGAACTCTCTGTCGTATAGATGGCTACGTCGCCTTCGGGCCGAGACTTATCGCCAGAGTTTCCATAATCTAAATGTAGAGTTCCATTAATCAGATAACTGCTCAAGATGGTGAATAAACCGCCAGCCAAATGGAATGGCCGAGTGAGCCAATGGTGCAGTAGCCGGCTCAGATACGAACCAGTTTCAGCCCAAAA